AGCACTTTGGGAGGCCGAGACGGGCGGATCACGAGGTCAGGAGATCGAGACCATCCTGGCTAACACGGTGAAACCCCGTCTCTACTAAAAAATACAAAAAACTAGCCGGGCGAGGTGGTGGACGCCTGTAGTCCCAGCTACTCGGGAGGCTGAGGCAGGAGAATGGCGTGAACCCGGGAGGCGGAGCTTGCAGTGAGCTGAGATCCGGCCACTGCACTCCAGCCTGGGCGACAGAGCGAGACTCCGTCTCAAAAAAAATAAATAAATAAAATAAACAAGATGGTGAAGGTGCCATTGTAGGTGTTGGGCTCTGGCACAGGCACTCACCGGAGCCTCTGCTTTGGGCTGAGATCAGTACATGACAGCATCTCATCTCCACAGGTACAGAGCTCACATATGTTGGTGCTTGTAGAGGCCTTCTGTTCCTCTGGTGCAGTTAAAGCCTTATTTTGGGGGTAACTTTCAGACCGCATCAATGAATCCTGAGTAGATTCTAGTTCAGTAGGTGGACCTGTGACTTCAGTCAGTTTTCAATGCAGAGTCTGAACCTGGTCTGGACAAGGAGCTGTAGTCTTCTCCAGGGCTGTAGAATGTCCAATCTCTGTAGTGGGTTCTGGAGTGATGGCAAGTCCCAGGTCTGGAGGCTGAGTTGAGGTCTCCTCCATGGTTGGAGGTGGTTTAACCTCTATAGTAGGTTCTGTAGTTATGGTAAGCTCCAGGTCCAGAGGTTGAACTGTGACTTGCGTCAGGTTTGAATGCTGAGCCTGACCCTTGTCTGGAGGTGGAAGTGTCACCTCAAGGTGCTCTGGAGGAGGAGCTGTAGTCATCAGGGCTGTAGAAGTTTCAACCTCTGTAATAGATTCTGGAGTGATGGTAAGCCCCAGATCCAAAGGTTGAACTGTGACGCTGGGTGATGTTGGATGCTGAGCTTGATCCTGGCCTGGTGTTGGCACGGACATCTCAAAATATACAGGAGGTTGAGCTACAACCTCCTTACATAGCTCTGGAGACCAAGTTAGGGTCTTCTGCATGGTTGGAGAAGGTTCAACCTCCATAGTGGATTCTGGAGTTAAGGTAAGTTCCAGATCCAAAGGTTGAACTGTGGCTTGAGTCAGGTTTGAATGGTGAGTCTGAACCTGGTCTGGATGTGGAAGTGTCACCTTAGGGTGCTTTGGAGAAACTAGAGTCTTCTTCAGGGGTGTAGAATGTTCAACCTCCGTAGTGGGTTCTGGAGTGATAGTAAGTCCCAGGTCCAAAAGTTGAGCTGCAATGCTGGTTGACATTGGATGCTGAGCTTGATCCTGACCTGGCGTTGGAACTGTTACCTCTTAATATACTGGAGGTTGGGGTACAACCTTAGGAGGCTGAGTTGGGGTCTCCTGCGTGGTTGGAGAAAGTTCAACCTCTGTCGTGGATTCTGGAGTGATAGTAAGCCCCAGGCCCAAAGGCTAAACTGTGACACTGGGCAGTGTTGAATGCTGAGCTTGATCTTGACCTGGTGTTACCTCATAATGAGCTTGAGGTTGAGCTGCAACCTCTGTAGGTGGCTCTGGAAGCTGAGTTGAGTTCTCCATCGTTGGAGGAAAAAAAAACATGGTTGTGGAGTTGTGGTAAGTTCCAGGTGCAAAGGTTGAACTATGACCTGTTAGGTTTGTGTGCTGAGCCTGAACCTGGTCTGGAGGTGGAAGCATCACCTCAGGGTGTTTTGGAGGAGCAGTAGTCTTCCTCAGGGCTGTAGAATGCTCAGCCTCCATAGTGGATTCCGGAGTGATGGTAAGCCCCAGCTCTAAAGGTTGAAATGTGACACTGGGTGATACTGGATACTGGGCTTGGTCCTGGCCTGCTATTGCAACTGTCATCTCATGCATTGGAGGTTGAGCTGCAACCTCCTTAGGTGGCTCTGGATGCTGAGCTGGGACCAGCTGCTGGCTTGAAGGTTCTACCTCCATAGGGAGCTCTGGAGTCTGAGCTGGAACCCCCTGCTGAGTTAAGAGATGGTTCCACCTCCTGAGGGAGCTCTGGAGGTGAAGATGGGGCCATCTGCTGGGTCTGAGAGGGTTCTACCACCACAGGTGCCTCTGAGGACTGAGCAGGGCCTGCCTGCTGGACTGGAGAGGATTCTGCCTCTTTAGGTGGCTCTAAAAGCTGAATTGGGGTCTGCTGTAGGACTGGAGATGGTTTGACCTTCTCAGGTGGCTCTGATGGCTGAGCTGGTATCTCCCGCTGCGGTGGAGGACTGACCTCTTCGATGGACTTTGGAGGATGACCTGAGGCTTCTTGCTGGGTTGCAGATGGTTCAACCCTTAGGGGGCTCTGGTGGCTCAGCTGGGAACTCTTGCTGGACTGGAGAAGGTTCTACTTCCTTTGGGGGATCTGGAGTCTGAGGTTGGGCTTCTCGCTGGGCTGGAGAAGACTCAGCCTCCTCAGGGGTCTGTGGATGCTCAGCTGCAGCCTCTTGCTGGGTTGGAGAGGGGTTCTCATTATTAACAGGTTCTGGAGATTGAACTGAAGTCTCCCATTGACCTGCTAAAGGTCCAGTGTCTTCTGATGACTCTAGAGGCAGAGGTGGGCCCCCATGCTGGGTGGTGCAGAAGGTTCTACATCATTACCTGGCCCTGAGAGCTGAGCTGTAGCCTCCTGGTGGATTGGAGAAGTTCCTACCTCTGCAGTAAGCTCTGTTGCTATGGTGAGCTGCATGTCTGGAGGCCTAATAGTGACATTGGGCAAATCTGAATGCTGAGCTTGGTGGTGACCTGGAGGTGAAATTGTCACTTCATGATGTGCTGGAGGCTGAGCTGGGGCCTCCTGCTGGGCTGGAGAAGATTCAGCCTTCCCAGAAGACATAGAAGGCTGAGCTGGCTGCTTCTGCTTACTGGGGGAAAGTTCAGGCTCCACAGGAGGATCCGGAGGCTCAGTTGGGGCCTCCTCCTGGCTTACAGAAGGTTCCACTCCTCTGGAGGTTGAGCTGGGGCCTCCTGCTGGGCTTTGGAAGATTCAGTCTCCTTGGTAGGCTCTGAAGTTATGGTAATCTCCACATCCACAAGTTTAACTGTAACACTGGACAAGTTAAAAGGAGCTTGATCTTCACCTGGAGGGTGAATTGTCACCTCATGATTCGGTGGAGTTTGAGCTCCACTCTCCATAGAGGACTCTGGAAGCTGAGTTGGAGCCTCTTGCTGGGCCTCAGAATGTTCAACCTCCCAGGAAACTCAGAAGGCTCAGCTGGCTCTTCCTGCTCACTGGGGGAAGGTGCACACTCCATAGGAGGACCTGGAGGCTCAGTTGGGGCCTCCTTCTTGGTTGCAGAAGGTTCCACCTCCTCTGGAGGCTGGGTTGGGATCTCCTGCTGGGATGGAGAAGATTCTGCCTCCTTGATAGGCTCTGAAGTTATGATCTCCACATCTGCAGGTTTCACTGTAACGCTGTAATGCTGGGCAAGTTAGAATGAGCTTGATCCTCACCTGGAGGGTGAACTGTCACCTCATGATTTGGTGGAGTTTGAGCTGCACTCTCTGTAGAGGACTCTGGAGGATGAGCGGGGGCCTCCTGCTGGGTCTCAGAAGGTTCAACCCCCCAGTCCCCACAAGAAACTCAGAAGGCTGAGCTGGCTGCTCCTGCTTGCTCACTGGGGGAAAGTTCAGCCTCCACAGGAGGATCTGGAGGCTCAGCTGGGGTCCCTTGCTGGGTTGCAGAGGGTTTCCTCTCCTTAGGGCACTCTGGTGTCCGAGCTGGAGCCTCTAATTGTGTTGAGGAAGAGTCCATCTCCTTGGTGTGCTCTGGAGGCTGAGCAGTGGTCTGTTCCTGGCTTGATGTAAGTTCCTTACCTGGCTCTGGAGTTACCACAAGCTCCACACCCACAGGTTTGACTGTGACACTGGGCAAGTGTGAGTGCTGAGCTTCACTCCAACTTTTCAATGGAACATTTACCTCATGATGTATCAATGGCAGAGCTACCATCTCTTCAGAGGCAGGTCACTGCTGTGCTGGGGCCTCCTGCTCTGTTGAAGAAGAGTGGACCCCCTCAAGGCAGAGCTGGGGCCTCCTGCTGGGTTGAGGAAGGTTCTCCCTCCTCAGGGAGCTGTGGAAGCTGCTCTGGGGCTTCTTCCTGGACTGAAGAGGACTGGATCCCTTCAAGGGTCTCTGGATTTTGAGTTTCGGGCTCTAGACGGAGTTGAGAAAGACTGACTCGCTCAGGGGCCCTGGAGGCTCATCTGAGTTCACCCGGAGTTCTGGAGGCAGGCTGCCCGGATACAGTATATCCATACTTGAATCTAAATACTCATCCTGCAAAGTTTGTTTCTGACACCGAAGTTTTGATACAAATAGATGTGGAGTTCCAACAACAACCTTAGCAAGCTTCCAATGCTTAGCTAGATCTTTCTTCAGGTTCTTGGGCAACAGTAAACTTGGTTGCTTTTGAATTCTTATTTATTTTATTTTATTTTTAAGTTTATTTATTTATTTATTTATTTATTCATTTATTTATTTTTTGAGACAGTCTCGCTCTGTCACCCAGGCTGGAGTGCGGTGGCGTGATCTCGGCTCACTGCAACCTCCACCTCCCGGTTCAAGCGATTCTCCTGCGTCAGCCTCCTGAGTAAGTGCAGGTGCGTGCCACCATGCCCTGCTAATTTTCTGTATCTTTAGTAGAGACGGTGTTTCACCGTGTTATCCAGGATGGTCTCGATCTCCTGACCACGTGATCCGCCCGCCTCAGCCTCCCAAAGTGCTGGGATTACAGGTGTAACCCACCACGCCCCGCCTGAATTCTGACTATCTAGAGGTGGAAGAAGTAAAGTATTTAATCTGCCTGATGATCTGCAGCCTGAGCTAGATCTGCAGTTTGAACCTTACTTTTGAGGCGAAGAGGCCGAGCTAGGGTCTGATTCTGATCCCAGTTCAGCATTGGAACCACCTCTGGGAGTCATCCAGATCCTGGTGTGCAGCCGCTAACTGCTCTGGCCCCGGGGGCAGCTCTCCAGCTGAATCCGTGTCCAGGAATGGAACCAAAGTCTGGGTCAAAGTCTCAGTCGATTCCTGAGGCGGAGCTGACATCTGGGAGGAAGCAGAGGACCCCAGGTAATCAAAGTCCCCCGGGTCTGCCGGTGGGGGCGGGGGGCGGGGATAAGCGCAAGGGAAGATTCGGGTGGGAGATTGGGGGAGCGGGAAAACCAGGGCTCAGTCGGCCCCAGAGGGTCGGAAGTCGGCTGGAGCGGGTCCTGGACCCACTCCAGAGGCTGAGCCTCCTGAACTAGTAGCCATAGTAGTTGCCAACCTAAGGAGGGGCCGTGGGACCCAGAGGTGCAGCTGGGACATGACATGCTCTGGCGCCGCGCACTTAGCGGGAGCCATTCTGGCAGCCCCTGAGACGCTTGCGCCCCTGACAACCGCGCGCCCCGCCCCGTCCTTTATGACACCTTTATTTACACCGCCTTTGTTAGGCTCAGGTCCAGATCCGCTCCGCGTCACCAGGGCGATATTATCCCACAATCCCACCCAAACCCCTCTTCCCGTCCCACCCCACCCCCGAACACCCCTCCCTTCCGCTTAGCGAGAAAGGATTTGGGCCGCAGACCCGGGTGGTCCCGCTACTCCAGCCGCCTGTTGTGGTGGGGTGTGGTGGGATAGGGACGCGGCAGAGCTTCCCAAGGAAGTCACAGGACCTCGGGATATTCAGAAGTGCTAGTCCCATTCTGGCAGCCTGAACTGCCTCCTCCAAGCTGAAATCCGAGAGATACTCTTCCTCCTCTTGGCCATACTGCTTCCAGGGAGAGCAACTGACCTGCAAAACGTGCGCCAGTTAGGGTGGCAGGCAGGACGTACATTACAGTCATTTATTCCAAAATGTCGCCATTTTCGCTAAACTTTTCATATCTTTTGTTGCATGTTTGATAATTAATTCACCACCCGATTAGGAAGGAGCTGTCAGGGAATAAGCGAGGACTCCAAATTTTCTGTAGGAGAGGTTTTGGGGAGTGGGCAATTCAGCCTGGGGGAGAAGGCTTTAATCCGAGTGAAGAGCCCTTTGCACTAGCCTAGAAGGAGGCTGAACTGTCATCCTGCCTTGACTCACAACCATTACCCTAGAAGTTACAGCACTACTCTTCAGAGGTCTACCCTGCGTGCACACATGGAGAAAACACTTAGTTCGTGAAAGTCAGCATGTTAAATTCTTTCCTGAAATGTGACTGTAACTAGAACCCAGCTGACTTCCCCACAGTCATTCTCTGAGACTGAGTCTCACTCTGTCGGCCAGGCTAAAGTGCAGTGGCCCAATCTCAGCTCACCGTAACCTCTGCCTCCCTGGTTCAAGCCATTCTCCTGCCTCAGCCTCCCGAGTAGCTGAGATTATAGGTGCCTGCCACCACGCCCCGCTAATTTTTTTGTATTTTTAGTAGAGATGGGGTTTCATCATGTTGGCCAGGCTGATTTTCAATTCCTGACCTCAAGGGATCTGCCAGCCTTAGCCTACCAACGTGCTGGGATTACAAGTGTGAGCCACCATGCCCAGCCTCCCCACAGCCATTCTTACCTATTTTATTACTCATTGTCTGGCACAATCACCAGTATGTGAACTCCAAGGTGCTTCATCTTATTCCAGTGCCTAGCATAGGCATATGGTGCATAGTAATAGTGCCAGAGATTTTATTTTGGATACACCTGACATTTATCAATACCAAGTGTGCAAAGAAAAGAGATTATTTCAGTCTTCCCATTCAGTAGCTCCTGCTTGAGTATGTGACCTGAAGAACACATAAGAAGAACCCACCACCCATCCCCCTCCCCAAGTTCCTAACCCCTGTTAAAAGAAGAAATACATGTACCTCTATAAATTTTACAAGCAACTAAAATAACTAGAGGTTCATCTGCATTTATAAGGTTATTTGGGAATGCAAGTATCTACTGAGTGTTAATTCTTGAAATAATTTACACATTCCTGTGGATTTCTTACATCACCAATTCTTTCTTATATGTCTATTCATTTTAAGTGTAGTATATGATTATATTCATGAAATTCAAATGATACAAATAAACTCAAATCTATTTGTATTAGAAATTAGTAAGAATTAACAGTAAAGTTAATTCTTTATTGATTTGTTTATGCACCTTCCTCTATCGCTGGTTTATAAGCTCCATAAGTGCTAGAGGAAACCATATCTTATTCTTTTTTCATTAGAAATTAGTAAGAATTAACAGTAAAGTTAATTCTTTATTGATTTGTTTATGTACCTTCCTCTATCGCTGGTTTATAAGCTCCATAAGTGCTAGAGGAAACCATATCTTATTCTTTTTTCATTCCCAGAACCAAGCACAGTTCTTGGCATATAATAGAGGATAGATGATCTGTTGATTGAGCAAATGAATAAAACAATAAACAAGTAAAAAATAAAATTACTTCTGGCAAGGCACGGTGGCTAACGCCTGTAATCCGAGCACTTTGGGAGGCCGAGGCGGGTGGATCACGAGGTCAGGAGATCGAGACCATCCTGGCTAACATGGTGAAACCCCATCTTTACTAAAACTACAAAAAATAAAAATAAAAAATTAGCTGGGTGTGGTGGCGGCCGCCTGTAGTCCCAGCTACTCGGGAGGCTGAGGCAGGAGAATGGCATGAACTCAGGAGGTGGAGCTTGCAGTGAGATCATGCCACTGCCCTCCAGCCTGGGTGACAGAATGAGACTCCATCTAAAAACAAAAGAAAACAAAACAAAATTTAAATTACTTTCTCCAACTGAAGAGAAGGAGAAATGCTTGTAGGGAAGGAGAAATGAAGACTGATTTTCAAAAGTTGAGTGCTACTGGGAAGACTGGCCTGTATCATGAGTCACGGTGGAGCCTTTCTGGACAACCAGGATGCTTCAGAAGGACTCTGAGCCGCTGGGTGGTACAGACATTTGTCACCTTGGATAACCTTGCCACAGTTCTTGTTGTCAACAATTTCCCTTCATTTCACTGAAAGAAACAAAGCCCTCTCAGGTGCCTTAGGCCTTTCCTTGATTTTATTTTAAAACATTATTCTCTTTTCTGTATTTGTAAAAGGCAAAAAACACAGAAACTAGGTATATGTGCTACAGTAGAAAAGAACACTTAAACTAGGTAACAGTGGGGGTCAAGTAGTAACCCCAGGCTCTGAGTTCAGTAAATAAATAAATCTAATATGAATTACATTTCTCCTCTCACCTGTCTATTGAGTTGTAGAACATTTCCTTCATTACTGTATCAGTGATGGGCTTTATGCTGTGAAATTCTCAAAACTTAAAGCTTATGAAATGGTCTCAAGATCCAAAGAGCACTAAAAACTCATTACTTACAAAATGATACCAAGTAACTGTTTCATAATTATTTATTTTTTTTTTTTGAATCTCGCTCTGTCACCCAGGCTGGAGCGCAGTGGCACGATCTTAGCTCACTGCAACCGCTGCCTCTCAGGTTCAAGTAATTCTCCTGCCTCAGCCTCCTGAGTAGCTGGGATTACAGCACGCACCACCACGCCTGGCTAATTTTTGTATTTTTAATAGAGATGAGGTTTCACCATGTTGCTCAGGCTGGTCTTGAACTCCTGACCTCGTGATCCACCCACCTTGGCCTCCCAAAGTGCTGGGATTACAGGCATGAGCCACTGTGCCCGTCCTGTTTCATAATCTTTACTGTATCTTCATAATATTTGAACGGCTATGTGAAATAGTCACAGGTTGGAAACAAATCATAGTCCAAAAGTTAAATAATACCTCACAGGTAATCATTTCAATTACAGGAAGTGGAACCACGACTGAAGAGGATTTTTATGGGTTCAGAATGGGAGAGTGTGTGCTGATTGGTTTCTGAGTATGCCAAAAAGGCTAAAAGAAAGGTACCATTTAAAGATGGGCACAGCGTAAAAAAACAATTAGGGAAGGGTAGGCATATGTAAAATAGGTAAAAGGCGGGGATCAATCAGAGGCAAGCGTGCCAAACAAAAAGAGAGGTTCTCAATCTGTCCATGGATTTATCCAAGACTTGTAGCTTGACTTTCAGGCTTTAAACTGTCTGGTTTGGAGGTCAGCTTTCACAGGGACCCACCCCTGTCTGCCTAGGATTTGTCTGCCTCCTGCCGCTATCAATACCTTAATTTTAAAGTATTGCTTTAAAAATGCTGACAATCATCTGAGCCTCTAGCAAGTCATGATCTTTTTGCTGGTGGGGCGTCTTGCCTCAATGTCACGCCTGCTGACTGATTAGGGTAGTGGTTGCGGAAGGGTTGGGTGGCCATAACAATTTCTTACAATAAGACAATTATGTTTGCCACATTGATTGACTCTTCCTTTCACAAAAGATTTCTCTGTACCATGCATTATTGTTTGATAGCATTTTACCCACAGTAACTCTTTTTCAAAATTGGAGTCTATCCTCTCAAACTCTGCTGCTGCTTATTATCTAAGCTTATGGAGTATTCTAAATTCTTTGTTGCCTTTTCAACACTGTTCACAGCATCTTCACCAGGAGTAGATTCCATCTCAAGAAACCACTTTCCTTGCTCATCCATAAGAAGCAACTCCTGGCCTGGTGCAGTGGCTCATGCCTGTAATCCCAGCACTTTGGGAGGCTGAGGCAGGCGGATCACCTGAGGTCAGGAGTTCGAGACCAGCCTGGCCGACATGGTGAAACTCCGTCTCTACTAAAAATACAAAAATTAGCTGAGCATTATGGCATGCGCCTGTAATCCCAGCTACTTGGGAGTCTGAGGCAGGAGAACCACTTGAACCCAGGAGGCAGAGGTTGCAGTGAGCCTGTTGTTTGTTTTTGGGAGAGTGGAGTCTGCTCTGGTCACCCAGGCCTGGGAGGGCCAATGGCACGATTCCTCAGGCTCACTGCAACTCTGCCTCCTGGTTCAAAGAACATTCTTCCTGCCACGGCCCTCCCAAGGAACTGGGGATTACAGGCACTCACCACCACGCCTGGCTAATTTTTGCTATTTTAGTTAGAGACAGCGTTTCACCTTTTGTTGCCAGGGCTGGTCTCTAACTCCTGACCTCAGGCTGATTCACTTGCCTTTGGCCTCTCAAAGTGCTGGAGATACCCACCCCCCCCTAACCCCCCCA